TCTCTGAATAAATTCACATTCAGCTTGCTTTTCAGTAGAAAAACAAATAATTTGTGTGTAATTTTTACAGCATTTTTTTATTAGTGAGTTATTAAAAATGGGAGAGAGATCAGCCTCATTCCAGACCCTGTGGAATAAAACACAGAGCTCTGGGAAGCTCTGTACCAGAAAGGTGCAGGGAAATGTGAGGGAGCTGAGGGCTGGAAGGTCTCCCTTTGGGAGGCATCAAGTGAGCTGAGTTTGGGGGGCATCCAAGCAGGAGATGGAAGCAGAGCTTCACTAGCAGGAGGGCTGGGGCTGTCCACAGGGCACATTGTCACATGGTCAGGGGAGGTGAATGTGGGTAACACTGTTGTGGCCTGAAAGCTGTGGAACATGCAAAGAAACTGGGAGGCAGCTCGCTCAAAATATGCAATGTTGCCTTTGCCATGACTTGCCCACCGAAGTCATTGTTACAAGATTTATTCAAAGCCAGGGGATGCCCAGGACTGAAAACAGGTGAGATAGTGCTGGCTGTTCTCTTCATCCAGCCAGCTGCCTTTGGGTAGGAGACATTTCAGGGCAGGCTGTGCCGAGGAGGTGCTGGAGGAGTTAATCATGTGTGTGGGGGTTTGCAGGCTCAAAGCCTCTCCTGTGCATTGGTGCAGGAGTTAATCCAGCACGGTGGATTGGCCAAGCTGCCTGCTCAGCCTGGTGTCTGGATGTGCCTCCCCTTTGGCTGTTCCCCTCTCCAGCTCTGTACTGGCCCATCCTTTTCTGCTTTGGCCATTTTCCTCAGTCAGATCAGCCTGGGTGCTTTGTGAAGGCAGCATCCCAGTGGTGTCCCAGGGAGGTGGTCAGTCCTTCCCACACCTGCTGGATGTCCTGCCCTTGGTGCCACCAGCTGTGTGCCCACCCTCAGCCCATGTTGCAGAGGTCTGTTTGATTACAGTGCTGATTCCTGTGCACATTGCTGCTTGTGGGCATGCCAGCAGGAGCTGTGCCCGTGCACACTGCAGCCCTTAGCACCCTCTGGGGAGCACAGCCCAGGCTGGCTGTCACTGTGGTCCCTGCTCAGTCTGCTCCCAGATGCAGCACTGCTCCCTGCAACTCCCCTGATTTGTTTAGAGCATCTAAGTTATTGCATTTTCCTGTTAGTTTTTAGTTCCTAATACCTTTTGAAGACTGAAGTTATCTAAAGGAGAGCACCTGGGACACTGAGGGCAGTTTGGCCACTGTCCTGTGCCAAAGAGCAGCCGTGAAATGGAGAGCTGGGGAGGGAGAGGCCGAGGCACTGCAGAGCAGGATGTGTGTCAGGGTGGAGATGCTGATTCTCCATCAGCTGATTCCCTCTGTGTTTGCAGTGGAATTTCTCCAAGTGCAGCGGGTCCCTTTGGGATGAGGATGGCTCTGTGCAAGTGAAAAGATGATTATCATGTTGTTGTATTTATTTGGAGAGGATGTGCAGCGGTTTTCAGACAGCTCCACGCACCTAATTGGGAATTCAAATTCCAGCTGGTAGATTGAGGCTGAAAGGCAGAGCTGTGGGATGGAAACGGGCAGGCACAAAATGCTGAGGCTCCTAATCTTTTACAGTATGTTTGTTTAATACAAAGTGGTCTATTGAGATTGTTTTGCAGAGTAGAATAATCATTGTGTGCTGACTAATGGGAGACAGCAAGCTGTTAAAGAGCATCAATTAACCATACAGGAGGAGATTATTGAGTATTTTCACAAGCATTCAGGGTGTGAAGAGTAAAGGATATTGCTTGAAGGTAACCCTCGGAGATTTTTAGCAATTGAAATCTATAAACTGCAAGAAGAGTATCTGTGGCCATGCATATGTTTGCAGAGCCTTCCAAGAACAGAACTGGAGTTGGCTTTGCAGTTCCAGATTGTGCTGATAGGAAATAAATAGTGCTTTGCTGAACTTGTTATGTTATTTAATATTGATGATTTCGCTATAGGACACGAAAGAACACAAGCTCACACCACTGCTCTCAAGGTGAAGGAAAAAAGGAAGTTTATTTTCTGACTCCAACATTTATAGTTTTCAAAGACTGACAGTGGATTGGAGGGTGACAGTGCCATCTCTCCAATGACACCGGACAAACCAACAATCCATCAACTTTCTCTTCCTCCATAAAAAAATGCAAAACAATGAGTTATTTACAGGAAGTGTGTGAGAAAGTTCACTACAAGAATGTCAACATCAGAATACTTAGAAAATCTTAAAAAACTAGAGTGACAGATAATTTTAAAAATTTCCCCTCTTAAATTTATCTAATTTATCTCAGGAAACACTGGTCCTCTTTGTAGAAGCTAGCATGTGCAACATCCTTCTGATGCTTGGGTGCAGGTGCTGTTACACTTCTCTTCCCTGGCTCTAGGGCTGTTGTCCTTGTCCTTAGAACTGCTCCTGCTTGCCTGAGTAATTCCCATCCCTGCTGCTGCTGTGGGTCAGAGCTGGATGCACTCGGTGCTCAGAGGAGCATGCTGCTCCTCCATCATGTGCCTTGCTTAATGGATAATAAAATTCTCCAGTTTTGACTGGTGGAGAGTATGAAAACCTATGTTTCATTAAGAATGCTTTTATACAGCCTTACTGTGCTTCTGCTGGAGTTTAATGTGAAAAATAAATAACATCTTGTGGGCTCTGTTTGCTGAGTGATGTTGTTGTTTGTAACTGATGGGAAATTTTTCCCATCCTGGATTCCAGTGTTAAATCCACTTTGTGCAAACATCATTTTCCATTTATTCATTGGCTGTGGGGAGACCAGATAACACTGAATTTATTTTTTCAGTGTTGTTCCTTCTGAAGTGGTGTTAGAGGATTGCACCTCAGTTATTCTTACAGGCAACAGCGAGAGATGTCCCTGGGATTCCTTGGGGATTATGATAAAGAGGGACCCCTGGTTCTTGGACAAGGACAAAGATAGACTTCTCTCTGCTTCAATTCTCTGTTCAAATGCCTTAATCAACAGAGGTCTCCTTTAACAGATGGTTCTGCATTGATAAAGCCTTTAATGTCTTAGTAAAAATTCAGAGAAATTTACTCCTTTTCTGATTTGATTGATTTTCTTAATCTTCTTTAAGCCGGGGCTGAGGGGTGAGAATAACTCATCAGAAGACTATGGAGAGGATTAATTACTTGGCTGCAAAACTCCTGAAGATATTCTGCAGGAAGATGTGGGATGAAGTTGGTGTCTGGAGGAATTTAGCTGTGACTGCAGCTGTCACACCTGCAGGGTTTCACTGTCAGACAGTGCACACTGATCCCTTGCATGCCATCCCCTTCTCAGCTTGTTTCAGTAATAAAACCTTCCCCCTGATCTGGGGGATAAAATTCCTTTTCTTCTCTGACCCCTGAGCAGCTGCAGCTCCACAGGGGAAATGCTGCAGGTGCTTCACTACCTCAGGACCCTTGTCCTTGCAGCTGGGGCTGCTTTGAGCTCTGCCTGATCTCTGGTGCTTCAGAGAGCTGCCAAAACATCCCTGGCTTTACAGGGAACTTGTCAGAGCCGTGATGTCTGAGGCACAGATATCTTAATGCAGATCTGCAGATTTCAAACCCCAAGGAGTTGTTCAGCTTCACCCACAGGCTGTAAGGGGAGGGGTTGCAGAGCAATTTCAGGGCTGGAAGGGGTATCATTAGCACTGAGCTTGACCTGAGCTGAGCTTTGGCCAAAGGCTTTGTCCCTGGAGCTGCACTGAAGCATTTCATGGTTCATTATCCTCACAGTAGGAAACAGTGTCTTACTCTGAAGCTGAGTATCTTAACTTGAATTTTGATCTTCTTATGGCTTTGTCAGCAAAGTCTGGTCTTTACCACTTTTTTTCCCCCACTTCCTTTTAGGAAGTAAAACAAACTGTGTCTGTCTCCATGAATGGAATATTTTGACATCTCTAAGTTTCATATTCTGAGGTTTGTTTTCTGGGCTGTGGATCACTGGATGCCCTGCCTGTGACTCCTGCTCTCTGTTTCCCTGTGGTTTTTGAGGCACAAACTCCAGAACTGTGTACAAGTCTCAGGAGAGCTCTGGGATTTGTGCAGGTTGCAGAGGCAGCATCGCTTTGGGGAAACTTTGCTGCTTTTTGACTAAGTTGATTTGGCAGCTTTGTGCCATAGCAGAAACAGAAAATCCCATTGGGCCAAGAGCCATTTCCCTGAAGGTCTTAGCAGGGTGCCTCTTTTACAGATGTTTCCCCACTGACAAGTGCATTTTGAGATGAGTCACTGAATTCATATTTAATCCACGAGTAAAATTGGCAAGGCAATTACCATCTTGCAAGTTCTTCAAATCAAATTGTTGGAGAACATTAAATCAAATGCTTTGGAAAAATCCCAGTATATACAATTGCTTTTATAATCCAGACTGTGATGCTGTCACAAGAGAAGCTTTTATTTTATTGGGACTTGTCTTCATTGAAAGTGTGCTGCCTGGTACTCATTTTGGTCTTGGCCTCTGCTTGACTCTGCTCCATTATTTTCCTTTTCCTAATTGTTATCCCATAATGAGAACTGAGAATTAAGGAATTGCTTGCTTAACAGCTGTCACCCCTACTTTTCAGCATTGCCAAGTGCAAGGAAACATTTGCAGGCCAAAATAATGCTGCTGTTCACAAGGCAGTTGATCTGTCATGAGAACCTGGTGGCTCAGAGCACAGCAGGGATGCAGGTGGCTCTGCTGGCTCTCCCTTTTTGCTCTGGAGCCACCCCAGCCACTCCCCAGAGAGAGGGAAGCATGCACACACACCTTGTGTGTAATTCATCACTGGAGGGGCTGCTGGACTGGGAATGTGCAAGAAGTGACTGCAGGCAGCTCTGGGTCCTGGGGCTGCTGCCTGGCTGAAAGCGCAGCTCAGCTTCATCCACTTTGCTCTGCCACACTCACAGCTGGCTCCTCTTTTTGGTACATCCCAGTCCAAACGTGATCTTTGGTGTTGTTTGCTGGGGGAGGATTTCTTTCACACAAATGTACCCTACCCTTCCCTTCCTGTTCTTTTTCTTCCCTCTACAGGTGGCAGCAAGAGAAGAGCTGCAGAAGGAGAGGTTCTCTGCCACTGCTAGAAAAGCACGGGAAAGCACTGACCTGAAACTGAGGGGTCTCCCATCCCTCTGTGCTCCACAGAAAACCAGAATGCATGGTTTGTGCAGGCTGGTGCTGAGGAGCAAACAGCCTGCCAGCAAAGTGGCCTCTGGTCAGTGTGTGTCCAAGGAGGCTGCTGCAGCTCTCAGGGCTACAGAGGTGATCAGAGAGCTGCAGCTGAGGGAGGCCAGCCTGCAGAGAGAGCTGCAGCAGCTGCAGCAGCAGTGCAGGACCAGGCTGGATGGCATTGCAGAGGGCTTGGAAGGAGTGATTTGTATCTCCCCCTGAAGAGAGGAACCTGGGCTGGGAGAGGCAAAGGATTAGAGTGGCTTGGTCACATTGTGCAGCCTGGCACGGGGGTGTGTGAGCTGAGGAACCAAATGGAATTTCTAATTCTGCAGCCTGGGAATCATAACTTGTTACTGCTTTGTGACTTGTGCTGGGGCCACAGCCCCAGTGCTCTCTCTGCAGCCCCTTTATTGCTAACCCTGCCAATTAAATCCTGCATTAGGCCTTGGTGGGAGTGTGCATAAATCTCCCTTTTATCTTCTGGATTTCTGGTTCTTCTGCCAAGCCCTGGGCTCTTTACAGTGCTCAGCTGTGAGGCACGGTGTACACTGAGGCTGTGCATTGAAGTACTAATTGCATTCAATATTTCCCAGCAATTGGAAGAGTTCATTAGTCAGAAAAATCCAAGTATTGGAGAACATGAAAAATATCAAGGCTTAGAGAGATTGGAAATATTCAAGAGTGTGTTGTTTTAATTCAGCTGCTCGGAGTATTTGTGGCAGCTGTAATGTAGTCACAATAAAGAAAAACAAATGCCTAATAATAAATAAAGCCCTGCACTGATTTCATTTACTGGTGTGATGCACTTGAAGTAATTGGGTTCTCAAAGAGAACAAACTAGAAACCATTCCATCAGCTCCTGAGTCACAGTGAGATGGATAACTTCTGGGCCTGCTATAGGAAGTTTCTGTGGTACAGAAATACAACCCTAACTTCTACACTTGAGGAGTCTCCAGGTTCTGTCTCTGAAGGCTTCTTCCCTTGGAACAGTGAAATGCTTTTCCTTTGGCCTTAATTTCCTACCCTTTTCTGCTTTGCTTTCACCAAGGAATATTTTTATGTTCTAGTTGTACACTCTGAGGAATAAATAATATTTAAAGAAGCCTGTCTGCTTTTCATTTGTGAATTGCTGTGAGCAGTGGGATTTGGTTTGTCTGGGGAAGCAGCCCCTGGGAGCAGGGTGTTTGTGTGTGCTGTGCAAGGCTGTCAGTCACAGCCAGGGTTCCTGCTGGCACTGGGAGTGACACAGTCCTGGAGCAGGAACTCCCTGTGGGGCTGGCAAGGTCCATGTCTGGGGCAGGTGGCCCCAGGCTGCTGCTCCTGGAAGAATCTCCATGGCTTTGAAAAGGCAATGCACACCACTCTGCTTTCCAGAGCATCTCTGTAGGTGCAGGGCACCTGTTTCAGGCTGGTACAACTTTGGGCAGGTGTTGGCTCCAGGACTGCTGACATTTAATGCATGAGAGGGCTCATTCAGACAGATTTCACAGAAAATTATTAATGAATGGGAGTGAAGCAGTATATCCCAGAACTAACAAGAGTGCCAGCACCAATCTCTCTCTCTCTGACTATTTTATATCCTCCTTTAGCTTTTATACAAGGAAATTTTCATACTGCATCACATTTAGGCTTAAAACGTTGCCCTCAAAAGATCTTTCCTTCTCCTGGGATACTCAGCAGAGAAGAGTGGGCAAATATTCTTGAGCGTGGCAAGAGCCCTCAGATTCAAGTGCAGCTCCAGCTCATGGCCTGCTGTGGCTTCTCAGGGCTGGCTCAGTGCTGAATGCCAGGATCTATTACCCTGCTGTGACCCTGACAGGAGTCCCTTGGGGGTGGCATTTCCTGGGGTCAGCCCTTTGTCACCACACACTGAGTGCCCTGTGCCTCTGTCCAGCCAAGGGCCCTTCAGCAGGGACTGCAGCCGGCAGCACCTTGCCCCTGCTTCACCCTGGAGGAGTGGTTTTATCTCAGGGTGAGAAAGGCAGTGCTCAGTGCGTGTGTGATGTGCAGAAGTGCCCACAGCTGTAGGAGGACACAGTATGGGTAATGTAGGATGTAATCTCATCCCCCAACGAGTTGCAGCTGGACCCTATCGCTAACGATGAGGAGCAGGCCTGATGATAACAGGCAACACCTGTAAGAAAAAGAGGATAAAATAAGAACAAGAGGCATGAAAGAGTGGCTTGGTGGGAACTGGAGTCAGGTGGCTGCTGCAAGGACCAGGAACAGTCAGTGCTTAGAGGAGCTGCCTGCGGGAAACTTTGAGGAGGTATGAAACTCTGAGGCTATGGAATCCTTGCAACATAATGACAATAGAACTGTTGTAATATATAAGAATGTTGCACCATAACATTAATAGAACTGTTGTAATATATAAGACAACACACAGTGACTGGCACAAACCTGCATGGCACAAGCCGCTGTGCTGGAGTGGCCCCATGGGAGCTGTCAGGAGAGCTGGAGCTGCCTGTCCTGGAGTGTCCATCAGGATTTCTGCACCTGAGGTAGCTCAGAGGTTCTCACCTTTCCCCTGGGCTGCTGTGCTGTGGGTCTTGTTAGGATCTGCTGACCCCCACTCTGTGTGGGATTTTTGGGGTCCCCCGTCGCTGGGAGGAACGATGAATCTGACTCCATGTTCTCAGAAGGCTGTGTTATATTAAAGAATATAATATACTAAACTATACTAAAGGATACAGACAGAAGGCTAAAAGATAATAATGAAAACTCGTGACTCTCTCCAGAGCCTCAACACAGCTGGGCTGTAATTGGCCAATGAGTAAAAACAATTCACATGAAACCAATGGAACAATCACCTGTTGGTAAACAATGTCCACACCGCATTCCAAACCAGCAAAACACAGGAGAAGCAAATCAGATAATTATTGTTTTCCTTTTTCTCTGAGGCTTCTCAGCTTCCCAGGAGCAAAGACCTGGGCAAAGAGGTTTTTCAGAAAATGTGACAGTGACAATTCTGCCCTGCCTTTTGGTTCAGGTACCAATTAGCTTGAACCAGAGCAGCTACTCTGCAGGCCCTGGTGAAGGTCAGCAGTCTGTTCTGAGCTGGCAGTGGTTTCAGATAAAATATTGTAGCCTCTCCTTCCTTTGCCTCTTTTTCAGCACAGACTGCACAAGACGCTCTGAGGGCTTGGTGCTCTCCCACACAGAGTTTTGGAGGATCATTTTTCTTTTTAAAAATCACAGCGCCTCCCCAGGAGCTGGGCACACAGGGGCTGAGCTCTGGTCATGCCCTGGTGACTGGTCACAACTTTTGAGGCATATCCATGCATCTGGAATATACAGCTCTGCAGTCTTGATGAGCTTGGTGAGCCATCAGCTGTCTCTCCAGCACTGCTGGGAGCTGATGAGTGGCAAACACCACTTAAAAACCTAAGAAAACATCCCTGGACTAACACCAGCTGCAGTGAGGGCAGGAAAGTGAACAGAGTGACCACAGTTACACTAAATGTGGTACAACCTAGGAGCAAATAGGTGTTTGTCACCTCACAGGGTTACCACGGCATTTGTGGTGTTTTCCTGTCGGTCCCTGGGGCCTGGTGCTGTGCCAGCAGCTGAGGATGCTGCAGGAGGGGGAATGGCTGCCCTGGGAGAGCAGGACAGGCAGCACCCACGTGCCTGGTTGCTCTGTGGCAGATGCTGTGACAGGAGGAAGGTGACTCAAGCAGTTCATGCCACCCATGGGCTCCTGCATGCTTCTGAAGTGTTAAGCATTACTTCACAGAAAGTGTAGAGTGTTGTAAACACCCCCCCACAGGCTGAAAGCAAAGCCAGAAGCTGTCGGGAGCTTTGCCCTTTGCCATCCCACCATGCTGGTTGTACGTTTCCTGTGGAAGCAGGAATCTGCCCCGGAATTGTTGATGGAGTTGGGCACAGGAGAGCAGGAGGGTGTGGGCTGGGGAAGCTGTGTGAGTGTCTCACTGTTGGACTCAGGTGGTGGGGGAAGCTGGGGGTGATGCTGTCCAAGCATTTGGGGTGGGCAGCAGTGGTTTGGTTTGCTTTCTGCTTTGTAGGTGAATCCTGAAGGGAGGAGTTTGGGTTTGGATCCAGCTGGGAACTAAGTGATGTTGGGAAAGAGAGGAGCCTGTGCTGGAAAAGCAGGAGAGCCGGTTTAAATCAGCACCTGGCAGAGGTGCTGCAGGTGCTTGTCAGGTACCCCTGGCGAGGGTCAGGCAGGGCAGAGCTGTCCCATGTTCACCTGGTGACAGGTGCCAGCACAGCCTGTCCACACGGAGCCCCATCACAGCTGCCCCTCCTGGGCTGGGAGCACCTGGCCTTGGCTTCATGCTCTGCTGGTGCTTCACTGCAGACAGGCTGGGATGCTGAGATGATGCTGCAGTGTTCAAACCACACTGCTTGATGGAACTCAGGACATCCCTCTGGCTGCCCCGGATTGCCAGGACCCTGCCAGGGGGCTCAGAGACCCTGGCACAGAGCCCAAGGCACCTGTGACTTTGATTATGACCCAGGGAGCAAGTTACCAACCTTACATGAGGATCTGCAAGCCACGAAAGTCTAAGTAGAATAATAACTAGTTTGTCATGGGGTGAAAAATAGATTTTTGGGGTTTTCAGAATGGGGGTTCAGAGGGCAAGATGGAGGAATCTGGGCATGTCCAGTCTTTCTCCTTCTTCTTCCTGGCCTTCATCTTCTGCTGTGATGTTGGCACTTTCAGATTGGTTTAGAGTAGAACCTCTCTGTGTAACGTAGGTGATAGGTGTTGGGAAGTTATGGTAAATACTGTACATGTAGTTTTTAGTATAAAAAGATAACACTGCCCTGAGGGTGGTCAGAGTGCCTCTGTCTGTCCTGCTGAGCGGACCTCAGGCCAAAGAAAGAATTTTATAGATAAGAATTTTTATAGATGAGAATTTTATAGATAAGAAACAATAAACAACCTTGAGAACAAGAACTGAAGAGCTCTGACTCCTTCGACCACCGGGCTGGGAAAAGAGACTTTCTAACACATCTTGGGGTCACTGTGACCAGCTAAACCCTGAGACTGCTGATGGATTGTTTTCCAGCAGAGCCTTAAGAGAAGTTTTGACAGGAGTTGATCAGGTTGTGATGGGGAGCATGGAGGTGTTTGTAGGAGAGCACCGTTTAACCCATTGCTCTGCTGGAACTGGGGCTTGCTTTCCAAGCATCTCGCTAGGAAAATGGAATGGGCCATAAATTATTGGCTGGTAACTCTGGCTCACGCTGTGTTGCTGGAAATGTTCCTCCCCAAATAACTGAGCAAATGTTCCTCCCCAAATAACTGAGCCTGGCTGAGCTGGCAGCCAAAACAGGAGGATCCCTTTGGGAAGGCACCTGCAGCCACCGACAGCGCTGAGCCTGCTGGAAAATAAGGGCTTAAAGCAACCTGTGCTCCAAATAAGAGCTGCTGTGAGCAGTGATTTCCAGCCTGGAGTGCTTTGGTTCCCTGTGGGATTCCTCCCCCAGCCCCTGCTGGAGGATGAGAGATGCTGGCAGTTGGTGTGAGCGTGTGTGTGTGGCAGCGAGGTGCAGCTCTGTGGGAGTGAACACACACATGCCTGGTGCTCTGCTCCCTCTCCTCTGACCCCCAGCCCCTTCCAGTGAGAGCCTGGGGTCTTTCACCCTCCTGCTTCACCTCCTGGAGCCAACAGCTCCTACGGAGCAGTCTGGCAGGGCTGCTGCTCCTCGGCTCACAGCCAAGCCCTGGTTTCTGGTGTCTCACCTCTAGGCTGGGAAGGTCCTTGTCCTTGCAGCCCCTCCACACCCAGCCCGTGTCCCAGCCATCATGGCAGAGCCCTGCTCCTCTCCTGAACTGTTCTGTTCCCCTGCTGCTCTAAAATGGGAGGCAGGGACAGCAAAGGTGTGAGCATCCAGTCACACAGGAAAACTCCTGGCCCAGCCTGGGCATGTCTGGCCTGGCCTCAGCTTCTGTCTCTGATGGGATTTGTGCTCACAGATGGTGTAAATTTGTGCTCGCAAATGGTGTAAATTTGTGCTCACAAATGGCTCTGCCAGCCCCACCATCACCCCCCAGCCGTGAGGTGACCTTGTCCCCCTCAGCCAAGGAGCTGTCACCTTCA